TTCTCTAACAGCTATTATTCATATTTTTCAACACAAATATACAGAGATACAAAATTACACAATCAGTAATTAAACAACTAGTAACTCTTCATTACTGTGTAAACATAATCTTAAAATCATTCAACGACTTAATAGTTTATTCTTGGTGGTGTTTTGCAAGATATTATTGATATACAGAAATAAAACTAAACGTTTGATTCCATTTGAGATAACCAATAATACGCTAGAAAAGTGTAAAAATATATCAGTGTGTTAATAAGTAAAGAGTACAGCGAAAAATAAATCATCAACGAAAGTGAAATGGTCTATGTTTTGACCGAAGTTTCACAAACTTTCTTTTTCAGTGATGTCTCGAACATTCTGGTGAAACTCGCTTCTTTTCTAAATTTACTTCGCAACATGAACATTATCTATCATTTACTTCTTCCGAACAGATTTCGGATATAAATGGGGCATTTTTCTTTAAAAACGAAGACTTTGATAGCAGAATTACTATTTTTTACAAGACTACAGATATATTAGGGATCTAAACTTTACTATTCTTTCGGAAGAGTAAGATTAGATATTTTAAACGAAGACTTTGATAGCAGAATTACTATTTTTTACAAGACTACAGATATATTAGGGATCTAAACTTTACTATTCTTTCGGAAGAGTAAGATTAGATATTTTAAACGAAGACTTTGATAGCAGAATTACTATTTTTTACAAGACTACAGATATATTAAGGATCTAAACTTTACTATTCTTTCGGAAGAGTAAGGTTACATATTTTATGCTCTCTTTATTGATTTTTTCAAGCGATTAAATGTCTGTATTATACTAAATCTAGACTGATAAAATTATTTTAAAAGTTCATGTTTATCAAGATGATCAATCAATACATAATGACGAAGATAATATTAATACTACCACTACAAACGTTGATAATATTACTACTAATATTGATTCTATTCGATTTTACCATTTACCATGTGAACAACATAGATCTCTCCCTCCTAAAACTGGCGAAGTACTGAAGATAAATTAGAGAAATCAAAACATTAAATTTAGAGGATTTTAGATGGTTCTAAAGATTACTTTGTTAGACCTGCGATACTAAATAAATAAAAAAAATCCATGGTAACGATGATATCACTGCATAAGCAAGTGACAAAATATTTTTCAATAAAACCACAACATATACGCAGGAGTTTATGGCATGTTACATTATGGAATTTTTAAGAAAATCGTAACAGCGAAACTACTAGAAAACTTGAGTTAGTTGCAAAAGAAACTTCATGAATTTGAATAATTTAACAGAAAGAAGGAGCAACAGAAAAACATCACCTTACTTTGGATTAAGAAATAAAAAACCATTAAGACGAATTCGGCTAAGTTTAGCTAACACCTAAATTTGGGTTATCAAAAGACAATATCATTAACCCCTCTCTTTCTTGCCCACAAATGCTCATTGATGATTTTTATGCAGTAGTTATATACTGGTTATATACTTACATACTTCTCGTCAATAGGCTCAGTCAGCAGACTCACAGAAATTATAACAAATAAACTAATAACGAAAAGAATGCAGCCAAAATGAAGGTAATGGACATCAGTCAGCACAGCTGGTCTTGGATCTGGCTTTCCATCAGCACAGGGCGGCGTTGTGTAAGAAAATCCCCATATGAATCGAATTAAACCAACTATCAGGCCGATTATCAATCCCCAAAATGCACCCTGGATATATAAAAAAGTTATAATGTA